ATGCTCCAAGAGTGGGTGTTACGTCTATGGAGGCTCCATCATATAGTATTTCTCATTAATTCCACCTCCATATGGTTAGAGTAGCTGTCACTGCTACTGCTGTACTATGCAAATAGCATAACAAGGATCAAAGTGATGGAGAGAAACTGAATAAAAGGAGAAGGAACAGGGAGTAACATTAAAATGAGAGGCACCAGTGTGCAAAACACAAGAAGGTAGAGGAAAAATAACAATTATCAAATCTTTTGGGGAGCAGGGAACAGGAAGGTATATTTGCACACATGATGAAGGAAGAAAGAAGTAGATACACAGTATGTGAGACTTGTCGGTACCTGAAAGTTAATTTGGATTAAGACAGTGTTAATTTAAAGCTTAATAGCAAACTCCTTGATAACTCCATACATGGATACTCTTACTCTGGATTCTTATTCTGTAATTGCTATTTCAGAATACCTTCATGTGCAGCCATACCCACAGAAACCAAGATGTTGATGCAGACACACATTCTGAAAATGTAAAGTCAATACCTACTTATCAGTCATAGTAGATGGTAGTGCACGTACAGTTGTCAACTCAACTTCAAGGGAAGTTTTGGCAAGACCTGACCTCTAGGTAGTTTCTTGCTGGTTTTGTACCACTCAAAAGTACAACAGTGCAAAGTGCAGCAAACAACATACAGAATGATTTTGTAAACATTTCCCTTCATGAGTAAATTCCAAACTTTGAAAGAGATCCATTTTACAATTTGGTAGATTAGTTAGATTCAAACCTACTTTAACGTGCTGGTTTTCTAGAAACAGTATCAGAAAAGATAGATTCTGAAGCATTTTTATAGTGTGTTCCAAAAGATTTAAAAACTGTCAATGATCAGGAAAAATAAATATTGTTTGATACTTTCAGAGCTGAGTAAGGGATTTCGTCACATAGTTCCCATAGCAGCTATTGAGAATTGAGTGCCTCTTGGAGGGTTTTGACAGTCTTAACCAGTTTGCATTTGTTTATGTGAACACATGCAGATGATGAAGAAATAAATGTGTATAAATTAGAATATTGTAGAATAATCAAAACATAAAACCAAAATCTGATACAATATAATGATGATTTCCTCAAAAAAAGAATTTTCTCAGCATTTTGTCATCTATTTCTACCCCATGAATTCATAATTCATAATTAAATTAAGGTAAAAGTAATTTTACTCATCTGCCCATGAGAGAGAGGGAGACTACATTAATACGTTGGCATATGTAGACATTTTACCAGCATAGTTAAGAATGTCTACCTTATTTATGATTGAACTACACAGATTGTAGCAAAGATGAATAATAATAAAACTTTTCTGCCTCACTGTCAAGCGTGTCTACCTGTCTTAATGCACTGTAGACCTATACATAGGACCATATATTATTTAAGTGTGTTATAAGAATTTTGAACTAAAAAGAAAGTTGTTATACAATAGACATTTTCAGCTAGCTGGAAAAATTAGCTAGCTTTATGCACATAGATATTATAAAACAAATTCATAGGTTTGATCCTACACATTGTCTTAGGAAAGACCCCCTCACTGGTATGCAGCCCCACTGACATGGGTAATGAATGTTAATACTCTACTGAAGGAGAAGTTATGCCTACATAAAATGAAACGCAGAATTCCAACCATGTTGTAATTTTGCTTTAAAAATTAATCTAGTCTATAGGGGCAGGGGGAAGCTTTTTGGCAGGCATGCCACAAATGAGCCCCATACTGTCCACAAGTACCACTCCAGTCCCTTCCTCTGCCCAATCTGCTACTCTGCTTTCTGCTCCCTGCCCAACCCGTTGCTATTTTCTACATCCTGGTGTATCTCCTGCTGTGATACCTGTCCCCACCCCAGTCTGCTGCATGCCACACACAGCGGCTGCGTGTGCCACTTGTGGCACACGTGCTGTGGGTTGGCCACCCTTGGTGTAGTTGTTTGAGCTGATAGAGTGAGATATACTCACTGTATAATGCAATCCTAATATTTTTTTAAATGGTGTAATATAGAGCTATGCCAGTCTAGTAGAAGTGAGCCTTGAAAGTGGGGCATTACATTTGCTGAGCTATGTACTTCAAAAGCTGTCAAAGTAGCTGTTACCTCCTGTCTTGGAAGCTGTCAGAAATCTATAAATAAACATAGAAAATGCAGAAATAGAAAACAATCTTATACTAACTGTTAGTGCTATTGTTATTAACTCCCTTGTTTATTTTCCTTTTTGTCTTTTTACAGTGTGTCCTATTCAGTACATGTCTCTGAGGATTATCCAGGTATAGTGAAACAGTCTTATTCATGAAGCAAAATCAGTGTTACAGCATTTTTCAAAGGTTGAAATGAAGATATCTGAAAATGCATTAATGTGTTCTAGGAGCTTCTTTATGCTAATCACTTTCCATTAGTTAGATTGTTTTCACAGCTATTTCTTCTTTTCAGCCTTCATTTGTCAGCAGGGTCAGGGTGAGAAAAACCTGGCTCACGAGTTTTCTGAGAAGGGGGTTGTGACACTTACCATGCCGTGAGCTGTCAGTGATGGGAATCTAAAAACTTCACTCCTGTTTGGTATGAACATAGGGCTTGATCCTACAAGATGCTGAACATCCTGGCTCTGATCCAGCAACTATGTGCTAGAACTCAGGGAAACTACTCTGTACTCTTGAAATTAAGCATGTGCTTAGATGCTTTTATTTTATCAGAGCTTCACTTTTCAGGATTACACGGGTTATTTGACAAAGTGCTCAATATCTGTAACTTCCTAGTTTTTTGAATCAGCAAGACATTAAAGGGAAAACTATTTCATATGTAATGACTGCAGAAATTGAGATTCATAAAATATTCAGAAATGAAAAGCACAATGCTTAATAGTTATATTTCATTATATTGATTGATTGCTAAATAGAACCAACTGTGAATTGTTGTACTAGTAGTCTAAAATATGTATGTAATTTATTGATAACTTTTTCTTGCAGTAAATAGTGATAGTGTATTTCATTGTTACAGTTCCATAAAGGCAAGCATCTAAATGTTGAAGTTCCCCCTAAAACTAAATTACAAGCTAAAGACTAGCAATTAATCCTACTGTAAATGACACATTTCACTTCCTGATAAATTCCTCATCTCCCTTCCTCCCCTGTTAGTGTCAGCCCCTATTCCTTCTTCAGCAGAAATCCAGGTAATAGATGCAATTTGCAGCATGTCTTGAAGGACAGTAGCTCTGGGTGATTTTGAACCAGGTTGGTTCTAAAGCTGATTGAATAGTCTTTAGCAGAGAGAGTTAGTTAGTTGTGCTAGTCTGGAGTCAGTCAGAAAGCAGGGTAGACATGCACTTTTATAGATTAACAACCTAAGATATAAAACTCAACATATATTCTTTATCATAAAACCTTCCCTTCCCCTCTC